CGGGGGGCGGCGGCTGCTTCTAGAAGGCGCCGCGCCCCGCCCGGTTCGGCCCGGCCCAGCCCCAGCATCCGCGCTCCGGCCCCGCCGTTGGCCGCGGCACCGGGCAGCTCCCCGCTTTGTGTGTGCAGCGTGCCCATGGGTCTGATACCTGTGCACGGCTGTGTGTGCGCTTGTACATGTATGTGCACCCGTTGAGACTAGATTAGTCTGCACTTTTTTTCCGGTGGTTTAATGGGGGAGGAAAATCGCACCCACAGATCTGCTGCTATAGCGGTGACTTCCTTTTAAAGGCCGCGGCACCGGGCAGCTCCCCGCTTTGTGTGTGCAGCGTGCCCATGGGTCTGATACCTGTGCACGGCTGTGTGTGCGCTTGTACATGTATGTGCACCCGTTGAGACTAGATTAGTCTGCACTTTTTTTCCGGTGGTTTAATGGGGGAGGAAAATCGCACCCACAGATCTGCTGCTATAGCGGTGACTTCCTTTTAAAATGTATTTTGTTGTTTCTTAAGCTGCCTTTCTCCTCCCCCATTGCTTTCATCTTATCTCCCATCTCCTTGTCCTCCTCTGCTCCATGTCACTGTTGCCCATATGGCCAGTGCCAGGGTTACAGCATCACCTCAGCACAGTGGCCCTGCTTGTCCCTGTGTGCGGAGGAGCCTCTGTGCTCCCCAGCCTCGCGCAGGGCGTCCCAGCGCTTTGTTAACTCCTGTCAGCTGTGCTTAGCTTTAAGCCTTGTGTTAGGTAGGTTATCTTGAGTTTTACGGTGAGGAAAGGTGAACACTGCTAATAGTATGTGCGATGGAAAGCTTTTCATCTCCAGACCTCAATATTACTTGCTGTTAATGAACTACTTCAGAGAAAACTTGCTTTTGGTTGTATATAACATTTTGAATCCCCAACAAATATTGCAGAAGGTAAAGGCCAGATCTGCATCTGTGAGGGCTGCTCCTTAGGAATGAGGCCATTTAAGTGAGGAAACCCTGGAGTGTTGCCTGCTGATGCTGGTGGTCATCTTCAGTATTGCACACCCGTTAGTAATTGCTGCCAGACTGATGACCGGAGCTACCTGTTATTGATCTGAGTTGTAATTGTGATGCTCAATTTTGTCATCAAGCTTTTGATTTTTCTATAGCCAGGAATTAAGCAGAGCTGAAAAGTATTTCTTCCTTAAAATGGGCTGACTTTCTATAGACATACATGGACCTTGTTCCCATTGGCACCCCGTGAGCCTGCTGAGGCCTGAGGCCTTGCCCAGGTGTTTGGGGCTGGCGGGAGGCAGCGGGGAAGCGTTGCCTGGAACAAGCGGGTGCCCTGCGGTGGGCAGGGCCTTCAGCAGAGGCCCCGCCGGGGACAGGGCCGCGCTGGCCCGAGGACTTTGCCTTACTCAGTGTGGGGAAGGGATCCAAGCCAAGCAGCAGTAACTCTGTTGGCGTAAGATGCGTCTTCGTTGGGGATTCGCTCTTTACAACTAAATGAGCAAATCCCATTTCTGTGGTAGAAAAGGCCTCAGAAGGTGTTGGATTAAACCTTGCCAAGGTAGTGATGCGAGTCACAGGGATTACTTATGTAGTGGTTATTTCCTGCAGAGGTATCTGCAGAATCACTAGGTGAGATATTTGAAATGTCTTTTTTTTTTTTTTCTTTCTACTTAAAAGCTTGGATCTTTTGATATGCAAAACCTTTCTAAATATTTATGTTTAACCAGATATTCCTTGTAAGGTATGGATGCTAATTAGGGTAGAAAATACCCATCCATAGAGAAGCTTTATTTCAACTAGTGCTATTAAATGTCAATATAATTTCTTTAATTAAACAAATTTTATGGGGAGAATTAAGGTCAGATTATCTGGAATCAGATTCTTATGCACACTGAACATCTTTGATTTCAGTTAAACTTTCACTAAACTTAGGTTGCTTACCTGACACATTGAGAGCAAAATTAAGTTTATTCTATATCCTATTAAAAGCAATAAGCATCTATTTTTACATGTAAACTCCATGCAGGTGACAAAATATGAGCACAGCTTTGGAGATGGTGGATGGATGTTGTTACATTTAATTTAGTGAAGAACTCTGAAAGCGTGTGTGTATGTGTGTATATATATATGTGTATGTGTGTATATATATATGTGTATGTGTGTATATATATATGTGTGTGTGCGTGTATATATATATACACACACATATAAAGCTGAGGGAAGGGGGAATGATGCAGTGCAAGCTGGGTTCAGCTGCGCGTCAGCCGAGCGGTGCTAGTCACGCTGTGGGTCTGAGTAGCTGCATCTTGCCCAAGCAGAGCTCTTCACCCCGGGGAGCCCCCGTGCTTCTCCCTGTACGACTGCAGCGGGTCTCAAGGGATGGGTCTGTTACACCTACCCTTTCTCAGGTAAATGAGCAAACTAACAACATATGGGTGCATCTTTCTGGGATTTTTTAAAAGGAAAGGTGCACCAGAGTGATTCATCCCCATATCTCCTGTATTGAGCACATGCAGAATGACCAATGAACTGTTTTAGGGGTATTTACAAGTTTCACTGGTGATAAGATAGAAAATGAAAATCATTACTAGTAATGGGAGATTTTATATTTAGTTTAGTTGTCTCTCTTGTATGGGTTTGGCGTGTTGGAGAACTTCTGCTCTTTTTCTCTGAATAAACATGAACTTTTCTTAACTGCTAGTATGTGTCAAGGTGGAAGCTATTTTGAAAACTGAGGCCACGTGCTGCAGGTGCCGAAGGGTATAGTGCCTTTCCCTTCTCCTCTATCCATTGCTTTCTTTGTGTTTGCAGAGAGATTGAAGCGTCTGGTAAGGAGAAAGTGCTGTCTTTAAAGAGTGCTTCTTAGGAGATGTTATTTCATATTTTTTTGTTGTTAAGGTGGTTAGCCTGTCCCTTAAACTCTGATGTACAGTTTTACAGTACATTTAATCTGCTCTAACAAGCTGCTGTTGAAAGGGTCTCATTGATCCGACAGAAAACTAGCTGTTCTTCCACTGGGTTAGTTTTCTGTGAGATCAGGTTGCCTGTTTGCCTGGCTGCATGATTGATAGGCCTGATGCAAAGCAGAGGCCGTGCCCACTAATGCCTACAGAAAACCTTCCGTGGAGCAGGAAGAAACCATTGTGATGGCTGCCTGCAAATGGAGAGAGTTAAGAGAGGAGGAAATTCTTGTGTTAATTCAGATTGATAAAGGCTACCAGAAGCATGCACATTTGGAAGCTAAAAAGGCGTTCCTAGCTATTAGTTCAGTGAGATCCAAAGCAATGAACAGGAGGAGTTGGAATGATAAGAAATGTAATTGCTATTAAGAAAGAACCAGATCTGATTTTGTGAGGGCTGGGATATCTCTTTGTATGATTTGAGTGCATTAAAAGTTAAATGGTGCAGTGGATTTTTAATATATGCTGATTATTTTTTTCCAGGTGGATTAGCTAATAAAAGCAATACTGTAAGAGAGAGTGAATTTTGTTTTCAGTTTGTGTTTATTATAGAGCCTTCTGAATAAGGTAATTGAAATAGATTTTTCTAAATTAACAAAGCTTACATGTGAGGCATTTTTTTTTCTGCTGTCTTTAGAGGCAATAAAATTCTGCACTGATATTTAAACAGTAATTAGTCTAAAAACCTGAAGACTGAAGTGTGTAGTCTTAAAATTATATTTTTATCTCTCAATCTGTAATAAGTCCTACATTACATGGAAGAGACAAAGGGGTATTAGTATTTTATTAAGTTTTTTAGAAGGTTTCTTAAATTGATGTGATCAAGTGGCTTTGCCTTGGTTTTGGAAAACTGCGCTGGAGTTGATGTTTGCCTGCTGGCTGGAAGTTGCTGTTTGTCAGACTGCTTTGGTGCAGATGCGGAGGGCAGAGAGGGGGCATCAGCCCGTGAGGAGGCTGGAGGGCAGCTTTTCACATAAAATTGTATTTTTACAACGACTGGAATTAATTTCAAAGTAAGAGGTTAGTTCTACGTGATGAAATATCTTCATATTCTCTGCAGCAGCTGATTACAAGTGTTCCCTTACTTAAATTTGGTCTCTGGTCTAGAGCTGCCTTTCTAACTTTGAATTCAAAAATACCTTGTGATTTGTTACCGCAGAACAGTCAGTGTTGCTAAGTCAGATGTGTTGGGATTAGTGTCTGAAACAGGTTACAATTCAGGACTGTTCTGCTGATTTTATAGTTCTTATTGTAAAGAGCCCGTGAGACGCTCACACTAACGGCTCCAGGGTCTTTGTTGGGGTTTCTATGGAATGAGATTTATTTATTTATTTATCCCTGCTGCATTTGTATTGCTAATGGCTCTTTGTCTGACAAAATGGACTCTTCTATATTTGCTGTTATCCGAGCTCTTTCTTTGGCTCTACAGAGAGGTCTTGGATTATGGTTCTTCGGACCTTCTGGTGTTCAAGTTTTAATTACAGCGTAAGCTGTTAGAGAAGCTTCTCTGTAGTTGTGGAGGGAAAATTACAGTTCTCTCCTCTGTTAGTCAGATGCACTTTCGCACTTCCTGAAATGTCCTATTCCCATGCTTAATAAAAACATTTGAAGAAAAAGCACTTCATGGAGTTTTCTTCTTGAAGAACTTTTTATAGATTTTTATACAGCAAATTCACTTGTGCTCTGAAATATTACTTGCCTCAGTGAAATACAGCAGCAACTAAAGATATGGTGAACATCAAAATTTGCTCTTGCAGAGATTTTTTTTAATCAAAAACACCTTTCCCATATTAAACTGCAGTATTTTGTAAATATTACTTAACTCACTATTTGTGAAAATATAAGAGGTCTTATATTTTTACAGCAGAACTTTAATTAATTCTGATTGAAAACAAATTCTGCTCCATGCCAATAAATCTTAAAAGCAATCTCATCTTAGTCTGTTGTATATACACACAGTGAGGCTGTGCTGAGCTTTTATTTTTTAGTTATAAGACTTATCTGTGCACGACACTTAATGTTAGGGAGGAGAGCTTTGCCTTGGCCAGAGTGGATTTTCTGTGTTGGAAATACCAAGTGATGGGAGACCAGGTTTTGGTTTGCATTGCTCTGAGATGATAGGCTTTGCAAATGATCCTGTTTTGTGGTATAACTTAATATCTTCTTTTTTTTTTTTTTAGCTCTGGAATTCAGAGTTGACTAGAGGAAGATTACCAGCCTACAGCGTGTCCTTATGGCCAAGTGGCCTGGGCTGCTGCAGGCTGAGCGGTGCCAGCAGGTCGCGGCAGCTGGTCCTTGCCCTTCGCTCGGCCCTGGCGAGGCCCTGTGTGCAGTGTCCAGTGCTCAGCCCCCCAGGGCAATGCAGGCGTGGGGCGCGTTCAGGGAAGGGGCCACCAAAACGATTAAGGGACTGAAGTACCTCCTGTGAGGAAAGGCTGAGAGAGCTGGAACTGTTTAGTCTGGGGAAGAGAAGGCCCAGGGGCGTCTTATCAATGCATAGAAAATATCTGAGGGGAGGATATAAAGAAGATGGGGCCAGGATCTTCCCAGTGGCGCCCAGTAAGAGGATGAGAGGCAACAGGCACAAACAGAGATACAGAAAGCTCCATCTGAGTATAAGGATGTTTTAAACTGGTTGTGGAGTCTTCCTTGGAGATGTTTGAAAGCTGTATGGACGCAATCCTGGGCAGCAGGCTCTAGGTGACCCTGCTTGAGCAGGTCAGGCTGGATCATCTCCAGAGCTCCGTTTCAACCTCAGCTGGTGTGTGATTATGTGAAGATTAATTATATTTTTACAAGAACCTGAATGGTATAAAAATAAGCAAAAATAATGATGCTGATGTGTAATTTGCTTTGATTCTGTTGCTATTGTAATTGAAGAGCAAGTAAAGCAGTTTTAAAGTCGGCTTGCTAAACTGAAGGTTAAACAAAGTTGCATGTAATCAGCATGCAAGAGATGCATGTAAGCAATACAAATTCAATGCATCAGGTAATTGGCGGATTCTGTGTATTGTTAATTTAGAAAAATGTGTGGTGTTTCCTGCTCTTGCAGGTGGTTGTGCCAACCTCCATCATATCTGGACTCCTGTCTCCACTCTCTCTCTCCTGCATTTCCTCATCTCTAAGTATTTCGTAGAGCTTAGGTCAAAAACCTCTGAGCCCTGAAAACTCCTGTCTGCACAGGAGTTCCTTAAGTGCTCTAGGAGAGGCATTTCTGATGGTAATTGTGTGGAACTTTGAAGGGATTACATGGTTTTGATTCTAGCCAAGTCTTTGAATAGGAAGGTTTTGCATCTTCAAAGAGGAGCCATTTCTTATGAGGAGCCCTGTAAGGATGCTTTGAGAGCAGAGGCCAAGCTCCAACCTGGGAGAGCAATTCCAAGTTGGATCATGGGTTGCTTTGAAACATTAGGACAGTTTTACTTTATTATATTTATTTATTTATTTTTAAAGTAAAAAATCTAAAGAACGACTTACCCTTAGATCAGAGAGCTTCCCCCTCCTCCCCGAATCTGCTTGTCCAATGGAGCCCTCTTTGTTAAATGGAAACAAAACCACATCTGTTCTCACTGGCTCGAGGGATTAAGCACCAAGCTCTTCATGTGAAGGAGAACTGGGCAGCTTGTGCAGTGGCTACACGTGCAGGCCAAATTTCATTTTTGCTTAACCCTGTGTGTGTGTGTCTCATAGTGTATGTGTGTGGGGGTGTTTTGTTTTTTTTGTCATTATCGTTGACCCAAAATATTTCAGAACTGTAACACAGCAGTTTTAGTAAGATGAAAGCTATTTTTCCTTTCTGTTAATAATAATTCTTGGCTTTTAAAGAAAGGAGCTTAAAAATCATGTTACGTTAGTTACTTTTGTTAACTTTTAGGGTTTGGTAAAATCACTGGCATACTGTTGAGCAGCAGCAGGAGAGGAGCAATCTGCTTGCAGGACTGAGAAAATAAATATGGTATTAAGGTAAATACGGCCCCAAATTAATAGTAATTTTTTTTTCTTTTTCTTTTTTTTTTTTTCATAAGTGAAATCTCTTGGCAGAAATTGATGCTGCTTACTACATGTAAATAAATAATTAGCTTTCTTGAATGAGTAGATTTCTACTTATTTCTGGCTTTTCAATACAGCCTCGGTGGTGGGATGAAATCCTGACTGGTCCAATACATTTTTCTGTTTTCTTTTTAATTATTATTTGATTTTTTTGGTAGGTTTTGGAAGGGAAAAGTGTTCATGGAGAAATGTACATGCCTCTTGAGATTTAGGTAGGCTTCTGATTGACTGCTGATTAGTCTGGAGGAAGTTTACATGAGTCTGTTGAGACGCTAGCAGTGCTCATAAAGGCAGTGAGGTTTAAAGAGTCTCTCTGAAAAATTCCAGGAGATGTTTGCCAAGGTGCTGACTGTGGCCTAGTCCTATGGTTTGCTCCCACATGGACTTCACGGAAAGGCTTGGACTATCTGCATGGTTCTTGAATCCCTAGGTATTAGACTAGGACTTGCACTCAGCAGTTTGAAAGCCCAGTATGACGAATTAATATGTCTTGATGATCAACAAGTTCTGAACTGTTTTGTTAGTCTTAATATTCCTGCGGCTTCTGAGATGTTCTGATGAAAAGTAGAATATAGGTAAGAAGTGAGGTTATCATATAAGACCGGTGTAAAGACTGTATGATACAGCTTGTACGAGCTATGGTAATGGACTTGGAGAAATGAGGACTAGAAATAGACTGAAAAATGAAGGTTTTTAATGTCCCTGTTCATGCTTTTAGATGTTGTGAAAACTTAAGATACAGAATCTCAAAGATTAGATCCATATGGAATGTGTGA